ATAAATTCTATAAATTCCCTCTGAAAGCCCTGTAAATTACTTGACTCTACATTCTATCAATTAAAATCTTTGATTACCCTGCCAATCCAGATGATTCGTATTGGGGGGTATCACACACACCCCATCCCCCGTCAACTGTTTCGCATACAACTATTTACATGAGACGGCCACATTTAATTTCCTCGACAATACTACAAAGTCCCACATGACTGAGCGTGCTCCTAAGATTGAACGCTGTTCATCTGTTTATTCAAAACAATAAATAAATAGGCCTAATAGTAATTTATACCAACCTTAGCTCCAGGGTATGATTATTCCTTGACCGACCTATTATCCGCAGTTCCCGCCAAAACTCTCACGACTGAGTGCGATGGACCTTTCCCCTTATAACTAAAATTTCGATCTGGACAAAAATTTCATCACAGCTTCAAAGACCATCACAAAATTTGTAATATTCCAAAGTTTTGTTGCAAAATCTTGTAAAATGCGGATAATATAGCCTTGCGAAGTTTGCCGTTTTTCAGTCATTTTGTATTACAAACGGGAAATTGACATCCGATTCGGGTGTTGGGGCTGCAATTTCCCGTTTGCAATGCAAAATGACTGAAAATTGCAAACTTCGCAAGGCTCTATTTTCCTCATTTTACAACATTTCGCAACGAAACTTTGGAATATTACTAATTTTGTGATGCTCTTTCAAGCTGTGATGAAATATTTGTCTAGACTTGCCTAGATCAAAATTTTGGTTATAAGGGGAAAGGTCTATTAATCTCTTTCACCAGCTCTTTCACGACGCTCAGTAAATGTATATATATATATATTGAAGTTTTATATAAATGAAGTTTTTTGGGCGGCTAGTGATATTTATATATATATATATATATATATATATATATATATATATATATATATATATATATATATATATATATATATATATATATATATATGTTGTAAATTATTGTATTTCATCCTGTCTGAAGATGACTTTGAGATGTCTTATCTTTGAATCATATAATTATTGTATTCTCAAGATGTCTTGTCTTTTCGAAATTTGTTTTTTACTTTACTTTTTTTAATTTTGTCTGCGCTGGACATGGTTTTTGAGTTAATGAATAACTTTTGGTACTTTCATTGTATTCGCATTGACCAATCAACTCACGTTCTGAGTTGGATTCTCCCAGGGCTTCTGAGAGCAATATGCGCAGAAGCCCTGGGTACGAGGTTGCGGCAATTTACAATAGACTGGCTGTTGGCTGCTATAGGCCGTGGGATGAGCATCCAAAAGATGCTTAGAAAACGGATTCCGTTGCACCCCTCGTGGAACTACGTAATTTTCACATGAATAAATAGATAAAAACTTACTTTATCAGAATCCGTTGCTCCCCAAGCGAAACAGGTGCACAATTGGAAGAAAAATCCCTCCAAAGTTTGATATTTTCGCGCTTCGAAATATTCGAACCGCCATTGTTTTGATAGCAAATACGCATGCGCAACTCACCCAAACTCGCACTGCGCACGCGCACAACCAACGCACATGCTTCGAAGTGGAAACACGCTCAGTTATGCAAATAAACATGGCTGAAGATATTTATAAAACTCAAATATCCTCGTGTTTTATGCATTTTGATGGCGTTACGGAGCAACTTTGCAAAGTTACACGCCAAAGGCTTAAGAAATTTCTTGAGTGTAGGTCAAAATGGGCCAAACTTAAATGTCAACAAGCTGAAATAGCTAAGAAATCGGTACGAGAACATCGATGACGGATCTGTCAAATCATACGTGGAGAAGAACCCTGACACCATTAACTTAGAATGGAACCATCATATGAAATGCTGGAAGAGATTTTGTGATGAAGAGAAGATCTGTAGATCACAGAGAAAAGAAGAAAAAGGAGAAGGAACTAGCTGTAAAACTGTAACTTCTACCGAAGAATCACACGTGGAAGTGGAGGCAATAGAACCAAGGCGAAAAATTACACGTCAATCAGACGCAGAAGCTATAAATATAAAGGCCCTGCCTAAAAGAAACGCGCATGTACTCCCAGAGATATGTATTATTTGTGGAAGAGACGCCTCGTGGTTCTCACTAGACAAGGTATGGTCATTTTGATAGGTATAATACTAGCGCAATGTGCACAACATTCTCAGGTTTTTTTCTGTTTTTAGTGTTGTGTACTCAGGTGAATAATATGATGTTTGTGATGTTACTCTGAGTGTATATCCACACCGGGCGAGCTTGGGCTAGTATTCCAAAGGTCGTAGGTTCGATTCCCACCGTGGCCGGGCATATTTTTCAAGCTCGCCCGGTGTGGATATACACTCAGAGTAACATCACAAACATCATATTCTCAGGTTTGGTTTTAAAATATATTGAATTGTGATCAATTAAGTTTACTTAGGGTAAAGTAGTTTCTATGCTACAAACATCTAACCTTGTTATTAGTAGATATTTAGTTTAATAATTTATTTTGTTTCACACCAGGCAACTAAGAAGAAAAGAACCCCACTCATGTTGGCAGAAACAATTGATGCTGGTCTTCTACGTACAGCTGCCGAGAGAAAGAATGATCAACGGATACTCGTATAAATCCAGGGGAAAGACTGTGTAGCTCTGGAAATCCGCTATCACAAAGTTTGCTACTGCAATTATACAATATTTCTCACCAGAGAGACGAAGAAGCAACAAGAGCATCAGTGAACAAGAAGTCTTATGATGTATTCTGTAAAAAAGTAATTGAGATGGAGGTCATCTGAAATAAGCAAATAAAGTATATGAAAGAATCAAGATTTGCTGGAGAAATTTGTTATCATTCCTAAGGACACTGAGAATGTGGATGCATCTAAATATAGAGCTTTTAAACTCAAGCAATGACTGATGAAAAGTTATCCCCAACATGTGTTCTGTGTACCGAAAATGAGAACTGTTAGTGAGATTGTATTTGTGGAAAATTTGGATTCTTCTGAATTGGTTGAGGAACATATGTCAATTAAGGGCCTGTTTAAATGGAAGTCGGGCTGGCCAGCTTAGCGACACAGCCCGGTAAGCGGGATGAATTTCTCTTGTGTTTATATGGGATACTTTCACCCCGTTTGCCGGGACGATTTTGTTACATTGTATTGTTTTGACAGTTGTTAAAAATAGATTGCTGCGGTATCTTTGACCTTTCATCCCGGCAACCGGAATAGCCCTCTTGTAAATGTTTATATGGAGAAATTTCCATCCCGGTAAGCAAGATCTAGCCTCTTTCAAACGAGATCTCTGCAACCGGGCCAGCCCGCTTGTCCATATAAACACACAATAACTTTTACTATAAAGATAACTACACAGCGAGATCTTGCTTACTAGGCTGTCTCGCTTATCAGGCAGGCTTCCATATAGGCAGGCTTCCATATAAACAGGCCCTAAGTCTGAAAACAATGATGAGGACTTTGATGAAGAGAGCTGTACCATTGATTATGAAGATGTGAATTCCAACACAAAAACTGAGGGAAATTCTAAAGTCAATGAGTTACAAATTCTATACAATGCTGCATTGATTCTTCACCAAAAGGTGCAAGAAATACCAAAACTGAATCTTCCTTGGCCACCATTGGCATCTGATTTGACAAGGGATAATATTTCAAATCCGACTATGAGGTCATGACTAGACTAGATTTCAAGTCCACACAATTTGATTATGTCCGAGGCGAAGCAGAGGACTGGATCAAAATGTGAGGTCTTGAAATCTAGTCCAGTCCGAATTGGAGGATTTGAAATGACATCCATACGAATAAATCACTACTCAGTTGATTTTGATCCAGTTCAGGGACTGAATTAATTTTAATCCAGTTCTACAGTAGAGCACTACAGGATCAATATACTTCATAAGGGATCTAGTATTATCATGTGAGCAAAATAAAGCAATATGG